CCCCGAGAGGATCTCGAGGAAGGTGCGCAGCATGGGGACGTCCCACCCTACGGTGCTAGAGAGGACGACGCTTCTTGGCGCGTCGTGGTTCATGTTGTGCTCTAGCTCTAGCTAGAAGGATGTCGCCGCATTCTAGATCCCAAAGGATAGCTCTCGGAGGTATTACCAGAAGCGGTCAGGTGGCGGGAGCACCTCACCGGTGGTGATCTAGTGGTAGACGTTGGTCAGCATGTAAAACATTTGGCGCCAGTCCGACATGGTGGGGCTTGGACCCAAACCATGCCAGATCTATCAGGCCAGGACCTTGATATTTGCTCCTAGAAGTCTTAGCGAAGGAGGCGATGCTAGGAGCTAGTTGCTCGCCGACATGGCCCTGTCGAGCGGAAAAAGCTCACCATAGCAGTCGACGACGTAGGATAGGCTCCCAAAGTTGAGGACCTGGCCCGAGACGAAGGCACCGGCTGTGATGAAGAACTCACCAGGGAAGCGGACGTCGCTGTCTAGGGTGGTGGCGCTTGCTCCGGCGATGAGGCAGGTGGCTCCAGCCACCGTAGTGCCTAAATCGCACTTAACGCTATCCCCTACCTGGCGCGCCAGCTGTTGTGGGGTTGAAACCGCGGCAAGCATAGTTGTTTGAGTCGGTGTCAGAGTACAGGTCTCTAGTAGCTCGGGTGGACTCAAGAACACAACAATCATAGAGAGGACACAATGGTTTATTCTAGTTTGGGCCAATCGATGCCCTACGTCCAGTAGCTGATGATCCTTGTACTCAAAAGCACCTAAAATGGGGGGTTATAATAGAGTGTACTAAGAGATCTGGTAGGGGGTTAACTCAGTGCTAATCCTAAGGTTGACTCGCCACTGGTGGAGCCTTCCCTTCATCAGAGAGGAGGAAGACGATGGGATAGGGTGGAGGAGCACTCGATGCCCTTCTCTGGGTTGCCCTGCTCTCGGTGCTGAGCAACAGCGGATGGAATGAGGAATGGAATGGTCTGTCTTGGATCATCCTCCCCCCTCTAGGTCAGACCATATCCCTTATATAATGAGATAGGTCGGGTACATTGCGGTTTAGGGAGATGAGCCTACGATCTACATGCGCCAAAGTCTAGGAGGGTCTTACTGCGACACTCTATGGACCGTGGTGGTGTCATGGAGTTGAAGAAGCCTTGGGCGTCATTTGGCTACTCTGTTCTGACACTCTGCGTGTCAGGCTGTGTTGGCATGGACCGGCCTCCCCTAGGTGGACCTTCTGGAGTTTTCTTAGTGGCGAAGGAGGTCGGCTCTGGGGGCTGACACGCAGGCCCGGAGGCCACTCAGCACCTAGAGGCCATGCGAAGCTTGTCTTCTTGTGTCATGCCCCATGTGTGACCCTGTCACGGAAGTGGCCTGCAAGGCCACGCCCCGTGCGCGGTGTCTGGGAGACCCCACCTCAATGGCTTAGGGCTTGTCTTCTTGTGCCTAGGCCTTGGCTGGCGTTGCAAGCTAGGCAAGAGCGAAGGCCCGAGCTCGATCGGGAGCTTGAGGCCTAGGCAAGCCCCCGAGCCCTGAGCGGAGGCTACGCCATGCCTAGGCTCGGTCAGGTTTCTTCGTCGGAGGGTGCGTGCGAGCGTACCCAATGGGTATTGCCCTTGAGCCTCTGGGCAATCCTGGAGGGGTCAGTCGGGGGTCCCTTCGGTCGGGAACCATTGATCCCAAGGCTTAACATACCCATATGTTAGAATCTCATCACCATACAATGTAGTTAATCAATGAAACATGGTTACTTATAAAAATGAAATAAAATGAGATGAGATGGTTTATGAAGTGCTTAATTTAGAACAGGTGCAAATTGGATACTGATAATAACTTAATACAAAGCTAAAACATTGAAGGTAAGGATCCACTTATAGTAAGCTTTTCTGTAAAAGTTATTCTTGTTTCAAACTTTCCTTTAAGCTAGCATGCACTTGGAGTCTTTTCTTTTAGTCGGGTAAGACTTGTTGAGTACCCTCAAGTACTCAGGGTTTGTTAACCCCTATTGCAGGTTCTGATTTATGCTGCTAATCGAGGTCATGTCGGTGGGCTCAACATGTTCTGGTTGTGTCTTCTACCTTAGGTGCTTCACCTAAGTTGCTTCTGTAGTACTACTCACCTTTTGAAATTTAAGTTTTTACTTCAACATGTTTTGTAACCTAATGTTAATAAGTCTTCCTCACTCTGATGTAAATTATTTTTATATCAAATGTTATAATGTTGTGGTAATTCTATGGTTCATCATGTATGAGTTGTAAAATACGGATGATTCGGGGTTCCTGAGGACACCCGACAGACTACCGTAGTTATCTGGCTCTCATGTGTAGAGGTCTTTAGGATAATGACAAGTGCACGTGGGCCATATAATTTGGTGGTTCTGCCACACGCTTGGGGACTAGCTGTGGGGTATATAACCCCGGGTATCCTCGACAAGGGACATGGGCCGCACCATTAGGGATGGTCAATCCCACGACATCAAGACTTGCGGTGCATGGTACTGGTCGACGTACATCGCAAGGCTTCCAGAAGATATCCTGAAGATGGCGATTAATCTGTTAGGATATGCCGAATATTTGATTCCATGTAAAGCTTATCGCTTACCCGATTAGACTTAGATCAGACCGACCTGTAACCCTACCCCCTAGCTATAAAAGGTGGGTAGGGGACCCCCTCGAAAATCATTCAATCATATCAGATAGCCAATACAAACCAACAGAACACAGGATTAGAGTATTACGTCGAGTTGATGGCCTGAACCTGTCTAAATCTTATGTCTTTGTTGCCATCTAGTTCATGTTCACGTGCACCTCTCCGTACAATCTACCATCATGGGTATACCCCTCAGTGAACTATCGGCGATATCTCATTGACAGCGTCCCAACTAGATCGATAGGATTCAAGTAGCAAGCTCTCTTCCTCGCTTTTATTGTATGTGGTGTCTATATGGGTGCGGGAGGGGGAATGGGAGGTGGAGGGTGACCAGGGCTCCCAACGTCAGTCATGCCATTGGGTGGATGCGGCAGCGGATTCAAAGTACTCCCAAACATATGGTTTGTATGGCCAGCGGACAGTGGTTGTCTCCCTTGTGCCGCTGGTGGAGTCACAGATCCGCAGCCGCATGTTCCAAATAGGACAAGTGGCATCGCCGATGGTCAAGCGGGTGGTGTAAACTCAAGGCTAAGTGGTAGAGCAGGCATCGGAGGATAGAAATGGAAGTGCAGTGGATGCTGCAATAGCGGCAAGGATGAGAAAGAAGTCAACTGAAGAAAAAAAGTAAAATACGGCTGAACCTAAACGATAAGTAGCAGTGCAGGACAAAGAAGGCAAGACCCTAGCGGGGCCATGATAGGGGAGCGAGGCAGCACGGGCGGGAGGGCAGCAGCGACGACAGTGGCATTAGGTAGAAGAGGATGAAGAAAGGATGAATTTGATTCATACCATTACAAATGGAGATTCCCACAAATATATATATTGTTCAACTATTTAAAATCATACCATTATATTTTTTATTATATATAAAATACACTGTTACATACACCCACGATATCTTTGGTCCACATACATGTTTAGATCTTATTTAGAGGGGGGAATTTTAAATCCACTTCGCCTGCTTCATTTCATAGTTATTTGGGCCATTGTTGAAGACCCGACTAACACCTACCGTACATTTATATGAACGATTTTGCCTTCATCCTCACCTATTTCTTTTCAACTTCGATGAGTTTCTTAATCATGTCACATGTTTCTTTTTCAACTCTGACGAGTTTCTCTTGATGCCTGACTGTGGGCCTGCATGTGCCACCATGCCCTTGGCCTCCAACACTGCCAAGCCTTAGGTGCGCCGCCCTACAGCCGCCTCACCTCGACTGTGATGTAGCTGCAACTGTTGCCACTCGCTTCGCTTGCCTTGTGCCACGTGTCGTCACCCATAGCCCCACCAGCAGCCGCTCCAGTCGTGCTCTTGCACTCGCCACCCACGCACCCCATCATCACGCCCCGGTAGCTGGCGTTGCTCCTTTAATTTGCACTTTGCTGGTGGGGCTCTCGGGGCATCCTCGACCAATGGACAGGGAGGGCTTCTCTCTCTATGTCAACATGCATGTGAGCAGCATCTCTTCATCCATTTGTAACGCCTGTGAGATTAGGGAGAAGCGACCACTTGCCAGGCAAGCATACTACCAGCGAAGCGAGGCACCGGCACTACAACAGTGGAGCGAGGTAAAAAAAACAACCTCACTACGACATACTAAACGTTTCCACTGACATGCATGCTGGTTCGGGCACACACCCGATATGCATGTGACCAATCACAGCGCGTGAATAAGATGTGCGGTTGCATGTAGACGTGGTTTGTATATATCGAGAATTTGAGCTCAGACGTGGGTGGAAGGGAGGAAGTTCAGTGGCAACTTGAAGCACAATAGGAGTTGTGATTGGTTGAAGTTACTATGTATATTAGAGCATGGCTAATAATACAACATATTGTTACAATGGATACACGTAGGAGGGCAGGAGGTAGGCTTCTGCATGTTTAGACAGTTGCAGAGTAATGAGGGATCGGTTGCTATTTGCGATTGTCCCCGCCTTTGGCTCCGCACCATTATATCTACGATGCAGCCTCCTTCAATTTCGGTTTCCATCCCAACGATAGAGAAGAAGGTAAAGCCATAGAGACCCAGAACTGAAATCAAAAATAAACTGCAAGAAGAGGGGGAAGGGGCGACAGGAGAGTCATTAAATAAATCCACTTGTGGATGTAAGTGATCTTGATCTTCATAAAAATAGGTCATTCATTAGTCCTTCCATTACATCTGTCTTTATCTCCTTTTCTAAGATTTTGTGACTTTTGTGGGTGTTACAATCTAAAGATCATGGTGTTATGTCTCGACTTATAGTAGTGCATGGTCGTAGTTATGATATTTGGTAGATGGGTGTGTTTAGATTTTTAACTCAGTTTACATGTCTTGTGAGGGAAGTTAGGGTAGGGAATGATGTCTGAAAGTGAAGAGCACGGCTCGCTCCTAGAGAAGATCATCGAGAAGATCCATGAGTACAAGCACTCATCGTCGTCCTCCTCTTCAGACTCAGATGATGACAAGAAGCCCAAGAAGTCTAAGAAGAAGAAGCTCTTCGGGAGGAAACATCCACTGCATCACGTTCTCGGAGGAGGCAAAGGTACACATAAGTTAGGAAGGGAGAAATTTGTGAATTTTGTTCCCAACTGTTTTCTTTATAGAAAAAAGAAGGGAACACTATGTCTTTTGAAACATGAATTGACACAATAAACCATATATTGTTTGTGTAATTTGTCAGTTCTTTTTGTTTTTTTTAACTTTTGTCAATCTATAAGGTGTGCAACAACCACGGATGACAATGGCATCTAATATTCCTTTTGATTTAGCTGCCGATCTTGTGCTGTGGAGGAACAAACAGGCATCCGGGAGCATCTTGGCAGGGGTCACTGTGATCTGGCTACTATTTGAGGGCATCGGCTACCACCTCCTTACCTTCCTCTGCCACGCACTAATTGTGTTTCTCACCGTCTGGTTCGTCTGGTCCAATGCTGCATCCTTTGTCAACAGGTCATCGCTTATGTTCCTCCCAGTATTCTTAGCCTTTTAATTTGGTCCTTAATTTTAATTTGAAACCAAACAAATCCACTACTTTGCTTTTTATTTGTTGAAGAACCCCAAAAATGGTCATATTGCCGTATGTGTTAAGCAAACATATTTTCATAGTATTTTAAATGTTAGTTATTCAAGTCATACTCTGTTTAATTTGAGCAAGGTTCTTTGTTACACCAAATTCAAAGAATTGCCTAATAATTGTTCACCTGTACATATTGCACAGAAGATTTGTGTAGTTTTTAGCTATGATATGGTTACATCTTTGGAGATAATATGACGTCTTCAGGTTTTTTCAGGTCTCCTCCAAAGTTCCCAGAGGTCATTTTATCTGAAGTTCAATGCCTGAAGGTAGCTCATTTTGCAAGGAAAGAAATCAATGAGGCTTTCTATACATTGCGCAATGTTGCTTCTGGAAAAGATTTGAAAACATATCTGATGGTGATTAGCCTGATTTCTACCACCTCTTTTTTCTGATTTAATTAAGATGATGCTGAGCTTTTTTATTATATCCTTCCTTTTTTGGCAGACAATTGCGGTGCTGTGGTTCATTTCCATAGTTGGAAGCTGCTTCAGCTTCTTGACTCTGTCTTACACTAGTAAATTCCTTATCTACACCACAATATATTAATGCCTTCTTAAAATCTAAGCTGCATAGTACTTTATATAAATTACTTTGATTGAATAAATAATTTAAATAATGCACTAAAATATAAACGAATTTTGATTGCATTCCGGTACTTACAATCAAACTAAAGAGTTTCTTGCATATACAAAAATAAAGTGTGAAATGTGATTAAGTTTGAACTGTCAGTTTTATGATTGTGCCACTTGGTCTATGGATATCTGCATAGGTACTTTTAAGAGTAAAACAACAACATGCTAAGGCCTAAGTGCTCATAGGCTCTTCTAAATTTATTGATCACATTTTAACAACAAAATAGGAGGATATAATTTTTTCTTTATTTTCTCTTCCGATGTAGCATCCCATTTATGTGTGCTCTCTCCCTCATTTTGTTGATCAACAATTGAACTGAAAACCGTAAGAGTTAGATGGTTGTGGCATTAGATGCGAGAACTTTTTTTCTTCTAAAAAAGGTCTCTTAATTCTTAAATCAAGAGATAATTTTGATCATATCAAACATTGTGATACACCATACTAAGTTTTTTTATTTGAAATCAGTGTGAAACAATCAAACTAGAATATCTGGTTTTTCTACCTCCTCTTCATGAATCATCTGGAAAATAGGAATTGGATGAAGCGCCGACATGAACTTTTTTACTTATAGACTGCATGTTACATCCAAAAATCATATTTTGTATATTAGGATAAAATATAGATATCCAAGCACAGTATTGTGTATACAATCATCTTTGTACTTTTATGGATCATTGTCATTCGGCAAATGTTGAAAGTGATCGCAATTTTGCAGTTTTCCTGATGGCATACACACTTCCCATGTTGTATGAGAAGTACCAAGATCAAGTTGATGTTGTGGGTGAGAAGGCCCTTATTGAGATAAAAAAGCAGTACAAAGTGATTGATGCCAAGCTTATCTCTAAGATCCCAATGTTGTCTGAGAAGAAACAACACTGAAAGGGCGCTCCAAAAGGACTAATTCAGCACATTACCAATATATGAAAATAGATCTTTTGGCTTTGCTATGCCAACATTTAGCAATCTTTAAGATGAAACCATAGATATTATATGGATTCTTAAGGTTGGAAAAATGAGTCTTCCAAGTCCTAGAACAGTGTCAACCATCATACAAAGTAGTTGCTTCTTCATGTCAGATAGTCCATTTGATTTTGTATGGATGTGGACATATATGCCTGACCAATTGTGATTATTTTCTATTCCTATATGTTACTTGGTGCATTTAATAGCTCTCCATTTATGTAGTTATGTTCGCAGTCGAATCAACTTAGTTATGTCATATCGCTAACATTTTATAGTTGATGTTGCTAATAATTAAACTGTTTTATGCTTATTATGTGATCAATTCATACTACAGTTGTGTTCCCCATGCCTTACGTGCCCACCAAATTTAGTGAATCAAAAAAATAATACCTAGTTCTCAGAAATAGAATACAAATGATATCATATCACCGATCCTGGAGAATGAAGTTTCTTTTTTGAGATAAATAAAAAAATACAACACAATGGTCAAAGTAGGAGGACAAAAAAAGCAGGACAAAATTTTGAGATCCACATAATGATTCCTAATTCTAGTTAAGAAGGTCAGCAGTAATAAATAAGATAAAATGACAATTCTTCTTAGATCCATAACCACCCATTTGAGAGCACGAGCAATTCAAGTATTCAATATATGGGCAAACTTTTGGCCAACGATAACTTGAAGAGACACTGATCAATGTACAAGAGGCTATATGAACCTGTTCCCTGCAATTCATGATCCAATCAAACTCACAAAACTATGATGGAACAAGTGAAATTCCTTGAAACCTTCATAAATAAACACACTTCTTCCGTCATAAGAACCAAACCCCTCTAGACGAAAGTCGTGTCGAGCTTTGAGGAGTCCTCATCAGTTGAATCCAAACCTGTAGCATCCTTAGATTCGACTCATGAGCACTCACCCAAACCACGAACACCGAAGGAAAGAGTAATTCATCCTTCGGAGTTCCCTATCAAATTCGAGGATTATGGCAATACCTCAAAACACTCATGGCACAAAACACATACAAAGAAAGCTTTCCCTAAAGCAGAACCATCAAAGGAATGGTTGATGGAAGTGAAATGCTCTTTCAAAGCAATTCAGATTCTTTCACCTTCCAGGACCATACCTTATTCATTAAGGGGAACTATCGTAGAAGCCCTGCACAACCCCACAGCCGGGACTAGTATCATGTCAGAATTCCTTGCAAAAAATCTTTTGGGTAACATGCCGCTAGTCCCAACCAACAAACTTTTCAAAAGTCCATCAGGACTCATCTTTGAGTGTAGTGGGATTGTTAGGGCCGTACCAATTGAAATTAACAAAACTGAGGTTCACTTAGATTTCCACATCTTTGCCATCCTCGATTTTGATCTAGTCATAGGCTACCCCTTTGAAAAAACTTTTCAAGAAAAACGTACCCATGGAAGCCTTAATAAAGAAACTGCTTTCGCCTCTTGCCTAGAAAGTCCAATGGAAGCAACATCTTTACCCATAACTCATTCGAGGAGGCGAAGTTCGTATCCCCATTTGTTCCACCTAAGCTTTCTTGTGAAATGGAACGTCCATCATCAAACTCACTCGAACTTAAGACATGTCCCCTAGCCATCCAAACTCACTCGCGGAAAACACTGCGCAACCAGTTAGTACCATACTGGAAACTCTGAGATCGCCGGATCGACTTAAATACCAGGACCAGGGACGCGTAGTAACCTTCGGTTAACCGTTTTGAACGAAGCGAGGACGAAAGTTCAAGCGGGTTGCTACGCGGGTCGGACCACTCCTAGGAAGAGTAGGCCGGGGCCATGTATGTCGGGACTGGACGTTACAATAATGGTTGAGATTCAACTTTAATCCTTTTTGATATATCTCTTGAAAAAGAAAACTTCTATGCCATGGACATTCCTAAAGCACCAACTCTAGAGATTGAAAAGAAGAATTTCACTAATGAGCATGAAAGTTTCACTTTTAAGACCCCTCATGTTTTATGCTCACTTTTGAAGTCTCCAGAGTCCATCTTGTTTAGTACCCTGTGCTTCTATGAGGACCACAACTATCTCTTAGTCCTCGTTTGCAAACTTTTTAGGAGGATGGTTGTGGATGCTTTTGTTTATCACAAATACTACAAATCCCATAGTTGCCCTATGGTACTAACCTTGCAGCTTGAACGTTATTGCTCAATGCTTGGTGGTGAAGCTGGGAACTACACCACCATCGATAGCTGCAAGTTGAAGCTCCCACGGTCAAGCTTATGAACATAAATAAAGCATTACCGGGAGATACCCTGGATAATCATAAAAAACCCAACTTCTTAAATAAAAGCAAGAACATGCTATCAAGTTAGTATGCACCTTCGGGTATTCTTGGTTGCTAACCATTTCAGGTTAAGATTAAGAAGAACAAGGGACATACGATGCTAGAAAACATGGGATCTGCATCAACTATATACATTGATGCTCTTTGGTGATGGAACGCACTTAAAAGGAGATTCCGACCTTACACACTTGACTTTTACACAAAAGTCCAAGTGTGGGGGAGGATGGTGAGAATTTCGCTACATGTTCCATTCATACCAAAGGCTACCTAGATTAAAAAAATGATGTCAGCTCTACCTTGCTAAAAAAAGAGAAAAGAGAGCTAAAAAAAGAAGGATACAAAAAAAAGAGGAAGCTAAAAAATAAATATGATAAGAAAACAGAGAAAGAAAAAAAGGGAAGAAAGAAAAAAAATATACATATATATGAAAAAAGGGAAGAAGAAGAGAGAAGGAACATGATGGCCCCACATGGCCACCATAAACACCAATGTGCCGCTTGACTCCCCTCGATATTGCTCCCGCACACATACAAGCAAGAAGGGTTCTCCTCTTTTAGACCTTTGCTGCTACCACTAAGGCCCATGGTACATACACACTAGTAGTGTGTGTGGCCTAGCCTTGTTGTTCTCCTGAGTTGGACCATGTGCAATCAAGCCACCGCTACAACAACCTCAAAGCTTCATCCATATATACTGCCGGTAAATGCACTCAGGTATGCAAAGGGTTCACCAACACCTTTACTCATATTTGTCTCCATAAGAATATAACTTGCTCTTACTAGTTCATGCCTCCTTTGTTTATGACGTATGCTCTGGTTTGGATGTATTCGCTAGCGGTACATCCATAGGCGTTTTAAATTAAGCATGGTGCGTAGGTTAAAATAGCCTTCTTTAATCAACATTTGACATGGTGTTAAATCTTGGTTAATGAACCTTAGAGTTGTTATTTTCATAAACAATAGAGGTAATCCATGATGGAGATAGATCAAGGCCAATGATACACTATAACCTTTACTTTAAGCCTTTCTTGAGTTATAAAAAGTTGGGTGAACAAAATTCCATAAAAAATAATAATCAATAAATAAATAAATATAATAAAAATAATAATAATCAATCAAGTATCTCAAGCATTAAAGTGTCTTGAGTTAATAAGATTTAGGCTCCCTAGTATTTTAGCTGGTAGAGTCTTTGTTTGTTTCCATCTTTGTTTCTTTGTTAAAATAAAAACAGGTACAAAAACAAGTGTGGAGGAGATGATCCACACAGGCATTCGCAAAAAAAGGCTCCCCCAAAATAATGCACAAAAGATCAACATTTCCAAACTTAGTTTGTGCATTCTCACTCCCTACACTTAAATAAAAGGATAAAATTGAACAAATAAAAAAATGAAATCAAAATGACGCTAAATCTCCATGCTATCCATTGATTAAATTTGCGCACTTTTTATTTCTCATTAATATTCCTTTGCTTGTGAACAATACATGATAGGGACCCCATGTTTTTAAGTAATTGGAATATGTGATATAACAGGATGAAAATGAACCTTGCTCTCTTATGCAAAGTACTTAGGAATTATTTTGCAAAATCAAAATTCAAATAGCATGCTCCTCAATGATATCCAAATTCCTACCAAGAGCCATATCTAGCTGTACATGGTTGAACCTTCTAGATATGCTACTTGCTATTGCATTGAGTTTTGTCAAGTCTTGTTGACCCTTGTTGAGAAAGTTATCATGCTTCCAAGATTAAGATCACATACACTCCACATACACATGCTGCTCCTACACTAGGAGTACGCAAAACATGCTTCCTTTTAGATCCACCAAAAATTATGCTCCTACATTGGGAGTAGACAAAAAAACATGTTTGTTAGATAAATACTCCATGCTCTAAAAAGATAGTGATCTCTCTCTAGATATGTAGCTTAGAAAACGAGACATGGGCTATGCAAAAGTTTAAAAAAAATATGGACACATGAAGGTCCAAGTACAAAAAGAAAAAAATGATGAGCACATGAAGGCTCATGTATTAAAGAAGAAAGAAAGAGATAGCCATGTACTCAAAATAAAAATAAAAAAACTAAAGAGAGAGATCATTCATATTAAAAGGAGTATAGTATTAGTTTATCATTATCCACACACACGAACATCTTGATCTACAAGTATATATGACATCTTTCTCCTTGGATCTGAGATTTGTCTTTACAATAATATGCAATACAAGTATGCTTTCATACCCTCCCCTACCTAAGCTCCACAATAAGCTTTTTAGAAGTAGGGAGAAAGAAGGCAAAATTATGATATGCCTTGGTGAGAAAGCAAACACACACTTTGAGTGATTTGAGAGAATCATTTGAGGAGCAAAGCTATATTTACATTTTCCAAAATCAAACAAAACCCAAGTTTCTGAGCAGAGTGAAGTAAGGGGATTGAATCCATGTTGTTCCATGATTGTCGATGTTTTGTCGACCGACTAGTGAATTTATACGAATATCACGCTGCTCCAGGAAAGATGATGGTAGCATCCAAAAGACATGAGGAGTTATACTGGTTCAGAACGGATCCCTATGTTCAGTCTCAGAGATGATCAAGTGCGTGTTCCT